CAACTAAAACTTTTCAAGCCCTTATGTACCACATATGTGGACCGTAGTATCTATAGTTGACTTTTGATCGAAAATATTGTTCAATGTGTGGGATATACAATTGAAATTCAGAGAGACTCCTTTAGTGACAGAGTCCGTTGCGGTTTAACATGAGTACCTGCCTGCGAAGGCCTAACCCCACGGTRCTTTCTATTGCTAGAAGCACATAGATCAAAACAATGCGTTGATCAGCGCCCCAAAGCATAAGTGCRTGCACCTGCACCATACTTTGGAGAACCAAAGCATGAGTGCTGCACATACACTTATACTTTGGTTCCAATTGGTTAGGGTGGGACTCCCTAAGCCGCCTTGGTCGGRTWCGAGGCCGACCTAAAACCTCTGCCGTACTCTGGGTCCGGCACCCGGSCGCAATGCGACTCCACATTGGACCAAATGCCCTGCCTGCATTTAGGTTTAAACCACAGCCACCAYGAATCTCCCCAAAGGGCCAAACCCAATGAGCAGATTGGAGTTTCCTCCAAGGGCTAACTGCTCCCCCTGGCACCATGTTTAAGTCTTTGATATGACTTTTGTAGCTTTTGGCTACTACCAGTTTGAGTCCATAGTAATCCCACTCATGACTGGTGACATTTGTTGCTTGAACAACAAATGCCTTTATATTAGGAATTAATATAAAAACTATAATATCATTTCAAGCTAATATTATAGCACTTATCTGACTTTGACCATGTTGACATTTAAACAAAGACCTGAAATRTCAGACATAGTGCATTTGGATTTTAGTCGCCTCTTACGACAGGCATRCCTTACCACGGGTATATTCGGTTTCCCCCCCAACCTGGAGGGGTCCCCCCTACCCGCAGGGGGAACACCGTTAGTAACAATATGAACTATATCAAAAGTGAGTKGAATCGGTTCAATGCTTCYTTGAGCCCCCATATATYWAATATAAGATTTTMGAATTTCCAGCTGWMTTTATAATGAATATATAGTTTAGGGTCCATATTTAAGTTATCTCAATAAAAAWTACAGAGCGAAAAATTGGGCGAATACGATTTTATTCCATATGATTGTTGATTGTGAGCTATATTAATGAAACCCAGAGAACATGTTTTTAGTTTATAACATCGGATCGATACTATCCTAACTCACAYAAACTATATACATAATGATTTTCGTTTTTCTAACAAAATTTATGCTGAATATGTTGGTTAGCGCATGAGTTAAATAGAGTATAGGTATATATAAAATTGCTTGGATTTCGATCTTTTGAAAAATATTCCGTTGTACGCGAACTTGGCACTTAATTACTTGTTATTTTTAAGCTGTTTTCTTACTTGCAAAGAATTATCCGACAACTTGGTTTAAGATGCTTAATTGACAATCCTTAGCTGCATACTAAATCGGTTATGTATCGATTGCGGAGACCCATATACTATGTGAACCATGTTCCTTTCCAATATTCGATCAATCCTTGATCGGAGAGCCAAGCATGTCCAAAGAAACTTGTGAACGGGACTATTTTACCCTAAATATTCACCAAAATCATTCGAAGGGWCTCGCGAGAGATGTCGTGCTCTGTTACCATCTCTCTAACACTTGCCTTGAAAAGGTGGAAGGCCTTCTAGAGCGAGGCTTTGTACCACTTGTACGCTTGTGGTTTTCACTGACGTGACATGAAATTTGGCTAGAAATACAAAATTAGAGAGAAATTCTTTGTTCGCTTTGTTTATCCATTGTAACGCTCTACTGAGGTGTACCGACTTAAGCTGCTGCCTTAAACAAACTGGTTAACTTATCACGCTCATATTTGGCATATTAATTAAATACAGTTTTGCCAACTGAGCAAAATGCATTTTCTTTCTARTATCATTTACCTCGAGAATTTAATGTTTTTTGTTGTCTTAATGTATTTCTAATTAGTCATTGGCATTTTAGTAGCCTCACCTTTAAAATACAGGCCGAAGTTTATAGGGTCAGCTATTTAAACAACAAGAATTTTCTACATTTTTCCATTTTCTGCCGTTTTAAATTTTATATCCAGTGCTGTGTCCTTGAATTTTAAGCCTCAGTCCATTTCCATGAAGTTTCAATGCCAAATATTTTACTGCTATCGTTTAATACTCACTGTACGAGTAGAACTCCTTAGTGCCTTGAGCCTAAAACTTTTCAATCTGTCTGCTCTTTATGATACTCCGCACTTTATTGATTTTAATTTCCGTTTCGACATAACTGTAAACTTTATGTGTTGCCAAATGGCTGTGTCTTCTCCGCACAACGCAGATATTGCTTGAATTCAATATTGCAAGGCTCGCAAAATTTCATAAAATTCTTATTTAACTTGAAACTTTGCTCATTTTCAGTTCTGTATGTGTAAATSTGTGTATGAGTGTCTGTGTGGATTACTTCTCGCCRTAACTTTTTTATTGGACTTTTTCTCATAAAACTATTCATAACTTATTTACCCTTGGTCGTCTTTTGCTTCTTGTTTTTGTTGCAGATGTTGTTGCGGTCAGTCACGTCAAACCCATCAAACGATACCGGGCATCGAAAGTGGTTCGCCCGGTGACAGTTGGCTGCCACAGAAGCACACCAGAGCACAACCCACCGATGCATATGGTACAATTGAATTTCAAGGCGGTGCACATCCGACCAAAGCACAGGTAATAACAACAAAAAATATAGATTTATTGATACAGTTACATTTATAGTATTTATATACATATATATCATCGTTATATTCATCGTTACAACACATAACCTCAAAGTTAAATTGAAATCACTGCGATAGTTGTGTTCCTCTGCACATATGGTAGTGCATACATACATATGTAATACGTGTATAATGGAAAATCGATGCTGGTTGATGTTGTTGTAGGAAATATCAATATTGCCACTGAGCCACCTATCAGTACAAGCACAAATACACATACGTCTTCATCTATTTGTATGCTTCAGTCTGTGTGCTTTAGCGACTAAAACTTTGAAAATACAGGGTTCTCCAATAAGAGTGATATGATTYCTTTTCAAAACCAAACACACTAATTGCTAAGGAAAATCGAATGTTTTTTATTTAATGAAAAATACAATCGACACAATTAAGTTCTGAATATAGCATTGCCCATATTGACTTCCATAGCTAGAAGAAACTCGGGCTTATTGCTATATACCAATGAGTTCATATAACCCCACAATAAGTAGTCCAATGGTGTGAAATCACAACTTCTTGCAGGCCATTCAAAGTCATAATTCCTTGAAATGATCGAACCTCCAAACTTTTCTCGCAATAATTCGGCTTGTTCAAGTGCTGTGTGGCACGTAGCCCCGTCTTGTCAGAAGCAGATGTTGTCAAGATCAACTTTCAATTGCGGCCATAAAAATTTGGTTACCATCGATCAATAACCCTCTACATTGACAATAACGATGCCAACAGCTTCGTTTCGAAAGAAGTAGGGGCCGCTAACACCACCCGAC